CAGAAGTAGATCATTCAGCCCATCGACTCTCGTCTGTCGTTCAGTGAGATTGTTACTGATCTGATGAGCCTCAACTCCACTTTCCTGATTACAGCATTATACTTGATGCTCTTTACTGATTAGAAATCTGTCTTTCTTAGCCTTGACCATTTTTAATGACCCAGCCAACACAACCCTCTGTGGTAAAGAACTCCAGAGATTCACTACTGCCTGGGAGAACATATTTCTCTTTGTCTGTCCAAACTGGGGGTATGCCCTCTGGCCCTAGACTCTGCCACAAGGGGGACAGTCCCTCTGTCTGCTCTGCCGAGTCCCCTGTCAATACCACAGCTATTTTAACATTTTACTTTGAGCAGCTCTTTTGTATATTTTGTAGGTTTCAATTTCTTCATTCCAATTTCTATTTGGTTTCTGAAGCAGCCTTGTTACCTTATCTCAAATTTATTCCGTTGGGCTATTGCCAAAGTGATTTTTTTTTTTCAAATAAATTGTTGCTTGAACCAACATTGTCCCATTAACAATCTGCAGATTGCCATTCACTGCTTAAATAGCTGGGACTTTCCCCCCACCCCCATACATTTATTTCCAATTTCCATGCTCAATTTGATTTGAGTTGACTTTGTAGAGCAGTGTGTCAATTCAGTAGAGCTTGCCAATAAGATTGGTCTTGTAGCACTTGGAACTGTGGGATTTTTGATGTATATATTAACCAGTTAGCATAGACTTTTAGCAGATTCCTAGAGACCCTGTTGTTAGATTTCTCAACTGAGATGTTGAAGTAAGGTCTTCACTTCATTGGTCAACATGAGCAGAGGATGGAGTTTAAGTTACGTAATGAAATTTTTTTATTGCTACGGATCTACATGTATCTACATGTCGGACCTATCCAAGAGGTGAGAGATTAGTGGTCAATCCGTCATAGATATATTTCTCGTGATAAGATACGAAGATGTTGGCAAGACGTAAGTCGAGACTGGATCCCATGGCAATACCAGCTACTTATATGTGTGTGTGGTATCATTGAAACTGAACTAAATTGCATGAGTTGCTAAATTCATGAATTGATGAGCGCGTTTAGACACTAGTGGCTTGTTTATGTTGCTACAATAGAGTGACGTAATGCAAATGTCAATGGCTTCTTTAAGTTGTACATTGCCAGCTTATTTAGCAATGCTGAAAGAACACATGGATATGTTGTTGCTATGAGACAACAAGGTGCAGAGCTGGACAAACACAGCAGGCCAAGCAGCACCGGAGGAGCAGGAAAGCCGACGCCTCGGGCCTAGACCCTTCCTCAGAAAATTGTTGCTATGATGTCTTGTGTGGTCTTTACAAAATCCTTCTCTTTGGTGGAAGGGCAAATTAAAAATGGTTACAACAGTTCACAACCTTTTGGTCAATGCACATTGTGTAGAATAGGGTGTTAAGGAATGTCATTTTTGTCTTTTGGATAAACCATACATGTGTGAGCTTTGGAGCCAAATCCTATTGAGTATATCCTTACACAAGTCTACAAGTATCTTTGCAATTTGCTCTGAGGTGTAGATATGCAGTCTTTGTAGTGGTAGGCCCTGTAGCCATCAACATGGAGCCGTCTTTGAGCACAACACACGCTGAGCTGATGTAGTCATATTGCTGAGTATGACTACTCCAGTCCCATTGTCAGGTTTATAGGCATATATGTATGTGCCTTGATTATGCAGTGCTACCATCCATGAACGTTGTTGATAAAAATCTGTCAGGTTGTCAGATATTCCACAATATACATGTGCCAGATCTGCTAGATGTGCTTTCGGGGCCTTCATTGTCTTGTTCGATGCTGATTTCAGATGAGAGAAATATGAATGAAGGAGTACAAACTTGGCAAATACCTCTTGTTTAGTGCAGGGGAGTAAAAGGGGTTAAGAAGAATGTCAGACTTTGCATTCCCCTTAAAACAACCTGTCTAGTCAGTGTCCAGCTGCCTTGTCTGCCAACCAAGGCTGACAGTTAATTGTTCTTGCTGGACCATGCCTACAATGGTCCAACCACTCAGCACCTTCTTCTCATCCTATATATCAAGAAAGGCCTATTGACTAAACTAGTCAAGTCCTAAAGTTCATTGTTGCTAAATTCTGTGTGCAACAGGTGGTGAAGGAACTAACGAGCAAAACATACCTGACCTCATCCTCCCCAGTCTGCCTGCTGCAGATACATCTATCCACAATACAATCAGTAGGAGTGACCACTGCACAATCCTAGTGGAGATAAAGTCCCATTGAGGATACTCTCCGTTGTATTATGTGGCAGTATCACCATGTGAAAGGGGATAGATTTTGAACAGATCCAGCAACTCCAGACCGGGCATCCATGAACCACTGGGCCATCAGCAGTAGAATTGTACTGAACACGAGCACAAGCTCCACCCTCATGGCCAGCATTTTCCTCCATTCCTCCAATACCATTAAGCCACAAAACAGAACTATTTGCATGCTAAACAGTACAAACAGCAGGTGGCAGTCAGGGCCAAGCCATTCCAAAACCGACAGATCAAATCTAATCAGAGATAGTAGGAACTGCAGATGCTGGAAAATCTGAGACAACAAGGTGCAGAGCTGGATGAACACAGCAGGCCAAGCAGCATCATAGGAGCAGTAAGACTGACGTTTCGGGCCTGGACCCTTCATCAGAAATGGGAGAGGGGAAGGGGGTTCTGAAATAAATAGGGAGAGAGGGGGAGGTGGATAGAAGATGGATAGAGGAGAAGATAGGTGGAGAGGAAACAGACAGGTCAAAGAGGCAGGGATGGAGCCAGTAAAGGTGAGTGTAGGTGGAGAGGTAGTGGGGAGGACGGACAGGTCAAGGGGGCGGGATGAAGTTAGTAGGTAGGAAATGGGGCTGCGGCTTGAGGTGGGAGGAGGGGATAGGTGGGAGGAAGAACAGGTTAGGGAGGTGGGGATGAGGTGGGCTGGTTTTGGGATGCGGTAGGGGAAGGGGAGATTTTGAAGCTTGTGAAATCCACATTGATACCATTGGGCTGCAGGGTTCCGAAGCGGAATATGAGTTGCTGTTCCTGCAACCTTCGGGTGGCATCGTTGTGGCACTGCAGGAGGCCCAGGATGGACATGTCGTCTGAGGAATGGGAGGGGGAGTTGAAATGGTTCACGACTGGGAGGTGCAGTTGTTTATTGCGAACCGAGCGTAGGTGTTCTGCAAAGCGGTCCCCAAGCCTCCTCTTGAATCTAAGCCTGTTGTAAGTGGTGGTGGACAATCAAAAATTAAAAGCACAGTCAACAAATATCCCCACCCTCGATAAATGGAGAGCCCAGCCTGTCATTGCATAAGACAAGGCAGAAACATTGCACTACATGGAGTGCCCAACTGATAGCTCCTAAATTGGTTGTTAGTAGAATTCCTTGCACATTTCAGGGTGCAATTTTTGCTCCAAGTTTTATACTATCTTTAACCCTTTTAGTTAACTGCAGATGGTGGGTCTTCCCTTTTGATTCTTCTTTCCCTTTTTTGTTTTGTATGTGCTATGTCTATTCAGTATGTTCTCATATATTCCTTTAAATAACTGAGTGCATTTCTCTCAACCCATCCTTATGTCTAATTTGCCACATCACATCAGCTAGTATAGCTTGCTCTCTGGTTAGCCCCAAATGTTCTGGTTTAAGAAACTATCCTGAAAGCATACAGTAGATTTGTCGTCTTGGCTATTTTTGACCATCCGATACTTTTTCCAGTCACTTTGTAAAAAAAAAAAAAAAAAATAATACCGCATGACCATTGATGTATATTTTTGACAAGCTCCTTTCTTTGTTTCTTTATACTCTGTATAACCATGTGGTGATAATAGGTGACGTGTACGCCATTCCCATAAGTGACTTCTTGTCATTATCATTTCGCATCTCCAAACAAAACTCTCTTCTTTATCCAGATTTCTTGAACTTGGGTTACTCTCTCTATTGTGCTAATAATATCATTTATTAACACGGCCGGCCCTCCATCTTGCCGAGCTGCTTGTACTTCCTAAATGTCATGTGTCATAGTCATGGAGTTGTACAGAAACAGACCCTTTGGTCCAATTCGTCCATGCTGACCAGATATCCTAAGTTTACCTAGTCCCGTTTGCTATCTTTTGGCCCATATCCTTCTAAACCCCTCCTATTCATATACCCATCTGGATGCCTTTTAAACATTACATTTGTACTAGCCTGCACCTCATCCTTGGGGGCACTTCATTCCATACATGCACCACCCTCTGTGTGGAAAAAGTTGCCCCTTAGGTCCTTTTAAACCTTCCTTTTCCCACCTTAAACCTATGCCATCTAGTTTTGGACACCCCACCCTGGGGAAAATACCTTGTGTATTCACCCTGTCCATGCCCCTCATGATTTTATAAACCTCTATAAGGTCACTTCTCAGCCTTTGACGATCCAGGGAAAATAGTCCCAGCCTATTAAGCCTTTCCCTGTAGCTCAAATCCTCCAACCCTGGCAACATCCTTGTAAATCTTTTCTGAACTCTTTCAAGTTTCACATCCTCCTTCCAATAACAGGGAGACAAGAACTGCATGCAGTATTCCAAAAGTAGCCTAACCAATGTCCTGTACAGCCACAACATGATTGCCCGACTCCTATACTCAATGCACTGACCAATAAAGGCAACATACCAAACACCGCCTTCACTATCCTATCTGCATGCGACTCAAATATTCAATATTTAAGTCACAATCTCTGCCAAATTAATGGATTGGATTTGACTATGTTTTGTTTTGCTGACCAGATAAGTGGTTGCTCTTCCAAGTAATTTATTCTGCGTAAACTGCTTGGCTATGTTTGAGAGGTGCAGAAATGCAAGTTCTCTTTGCCCTTTGGTAGTAGGAAATATTGATGAGATAGTTGCATGACTCTTTAAATTTCAAAGATGTTTGAAGTCCTTGTTCTTTTTATCTATAGTAGTAATGATTAATTATAAATGCTGTTTTGCTTTCATGTGTTCAAATTGTCTTCTCTTAGGCCCCTCCCATAATGGCTTACCCAGCGACAACACCGACAGCAGTGATGGGATATGGCATGGTATGTGTGTGAAGCAAAATGAAAATTTAATTGAATAATTTCATCTTCGATGGGAAAAGTCATGGCAATCTATTTGTAACAAATTATTAATGTTTGCATCATGTAGAATTCTTTACTACAAATTATTTCCATTTAGTTCATATGCTATTCTAAGTAGCACAGTATTCATCTAAATTACGGCATCCTGATGTGATCTGCTGTTCTTAAACTTGCATACAAATATCCCTTCTTTGGGAAAATTAGTCACGTATCAAAAACTATTGTATACAACTTCTGTTGGAGGTAGTTTGAGTTGGCCAAATTAGCATGTTAACTAGTAAGTTTTATATTATTTGTAGTGAAGTGTTGTGAACCATGGAGTACTGTACTTGAGAGATTGGAGAATGTATGTACGTATCTATGTATATGTCAACTTAGTAATCTAAAAGGTGAATCTTCCACAATTTTGAAAATAATTCAGGTCTGTGTGCTTTGTGTATTTGCTGTCACATTTAAGCTGCAAACAATTGGGCCCACTGTCATTAGTCATTTATGTAAACTATTTGGATGAGAATATAGGAGGCATAGTTAGTAAGTTTGCAGATGACACCAAAATTGGTGGTATAGTGGACAGTGAAGAAGGTTATCTAATAATACTTCAGGATCTTGACCAATTGGGCTAGTGGACCAAGGAATGGCAGATGGAGTTTAATTTAGAAAAATGTGAGGGGTTGCATTTTGGTAGGACAAGCCAGGGCAGGACTTAGGAGGGCCATGGAGAGTGTTGTCAACCAGGGAGACCTAGGGGTGCAAGTATATAGTTCCTTGAAAGTGGCGTCAGAGGGAGGCATGGTGATGGAGAATGTCTTTGGCACGCTTACCTGCATTGGTCAGAGCATTGATACAGGAGTTGGGACATCATGTTACGGTTATACAAGTCATTGGTAAGGCTATATTTGGAGTACTGTGTATAATTCTGGTCACACTGCTGTAGGAAGGATGTTATTAAACTAGCAAGGGTGGGAAAAGAAGATTCACAAGGATGATAGAGACGAGAGGGTTTGAGTTATAAGGAGAAGCTGGCTAGGCTTTTCTCCTTGGAACCGAGGGATGAGCTTATAGAAGTTCATAAATCATGAGGGTCATTGATAAGGTGAACAGCCGAAGTCTTTTTTTTTTCACCAGGATAGGGGAATCCACAACTACCTGAAGGGCCCTGAGGGGAAACCTTTTCACACAGGGTGGTGCATAAATGGAACAAGCTGGCAGAGGAAGTGGTAGAGGCGAGTACAATGACAACATTTTTATAGGACCTCTGGACAGGTATGTGGATAGGAAAGGCTTAGGGGGATATGGGCCAAACACAGGCAAATGGGGCTAGTTCAGTTTAGGAAACCTGGTTGGTATGGACAAGTTGGGCAAAAGGGTCTGTTTCCATGCTGCATAACTCTATGACTCTAATGTATTTTTAAATGCTGTGGAATTTAAGGGTTTTTTTTTGCATCTAGTTGTAAGGTGGAAAATCTGTCTTTGAAATTATTTCATGGGTTTTTTATTCATTAGCCACCTGCAATGGGAACTATGCCTATGATGACGCAACAAACAATGATGTATACCCAACCAGCCATGAGACCATCAAACCCTTTCAGTTCTGTACCTGGAGCACAGGTATTCTAGCAATTTCTTTTTAAGATGTCTAATAATTTGGTACTTTGGACTATTCCATTGATATTAAACTATGGTGCTTCTATTAGAGTGTTATCTTTTACATATTCAAATGGAAATGAACAAATAGGATTATTGTGCTTAAATTTGTTTGTCATGAAGTCCATGTTAATTTAATAAAATAAAAGTATTTGTAGTTTAAAGTTTTGGCAAAGATCTGTAGCTCAGGTTGTGGTTGAGGTTGAGGTTGTTGGCTTGCTCGCCAAGCTGGCTTGTTTTTGTTCAGACGTTTCAAAAACCAATGTGGTTTACAAAACACCATGCAACGACTGCCACAAAGATTTCATCGGACAGACAGGAAAGAAACTAGCCATCAGAATACACGAACGTCAGCTAGCAGCAAAACGGCACGACGAACTCTCCTTAATATCAGTTCAGTCAGACAATGAAGGCCACCAGTTTAACTGGGACAAGGTAACCATAGTAGCCCAAGCCAAACATAGACATGCATGTGAATTCCTAGAAGCATGGTTCTCCACCCATAATGCAATCAACAAACATGTAGAATTGGACCCCATATACAAACCGATACAGATCAAAGCTGGAAATGACAGTGCTCACCATAACGGACCTGACAGTGTAAATTCTAAGCGGAGTAGAACAACATTGCTTCACCGGAGGCTCCACTGACATCACCTAGCATGGTGATGAAATGTCTGAATGAAAACAAGCCAGCTCGGCAAGCAAATCAACATCCTCAGTGTTTGTAGTACTAAGTGACATTTTTCGTTCTTTCTTGTTAGTAGAAATAGTGTTAACAACAGTTTTAAACCAGTGCATAAATTCATTTTTGTTTTAGCAATTTGGGTAGCATGGTGGCTCAGTGATTAGCACTGCTGCCTCACAATGCCAGGGACCCAGGTTCAATTCTAGCCTAGCATGACTGTCTGTGTGGAGTTTGCACCTTCTCCAGCTGTCTGCATGGGTTTCCTCCAGGTGTTCCAGTTTCTTCCCATAGTCCAAAGATGTGCAGTTTAAGTGGATTGGTCATGCTAAATTGCCAGTAGTGTCCAGGGATATGCAAGGTTACAGGCATAGGGTAGGGTAGTGATTCTGCGTGGTATGTTCTTCAGAGGGTTGGTGCAGACTCGATGGGCCAAATGGCCTACTTGCACACTGTAGAGATTTTGTGGTGATGATTAATTATCAGTATCTGGGTTTCTACTTTCTACTTAGAAACTAAACATGTCATTTCATTTTTATACATAAGATTCTTGAATTTTTAACCAGAGGATCATGTTCTATAGTTTTATAACTTTTCTTCATAAAAACTAGACTTTTATGCTTTCAGTTCATGTGTATTATGAGAAGCCTTTACACTTTTTGTGCTTTTGGTTGCGAAAATGTATAATCGGAAAATGTTGCAAATATTCAGCAGTCAGGCAGCTTTGGTGGAGACAGAAACAATTCTTGGGCAAATCTTGATCTGCTCCTAGGGGAATGCACCCCCAAAGGCAGTGAAAGTAAATTCTACACAAAACCAAAAATCATCTACCCGATAATGGGATGAAATCCTGAAATTAAGCACTCAGACATTTGACAGTGACAGAGCTGTCTGACACTTTTCCCACGTTATAGTCCATCTGCCAAGTTTTTACCCATTCACTTAACCTGCCTATGTCCTTCAGCAGACTCTTGAGTCATCATCACCACTTGCCTTACCAACTATTTTTGTGTCACAAACTTGGCTGTCGTACATTCACTTTTTCCTCGAACAAATCATTGATTATCTATTGTAAATGTGACCTCAGCAACGATTCATGTGATGAAAATGCTTTCCTTCCCCCCGCCATCCTACTTTTGAACTGTGGAGTAAAGAAGGATGATACTACTAAAAACCAAGGAGACTGAGTAATGTTTACTGGAGTACATTGTGAATTGTATAAAATATTGCATTTTCCTAGAACAGTCATGTAGACTGCGTAGAGCCAGTGGGTTCTGAACTGAGGAGAATAACTACTTGACAACAACATTCTGATTCCTGACCAGGTGATCTGGCTTGTGTGGAACCAGTGCAAGATGAAAACCACCTAGTTTATAAAGGGGAAGGATTGAAAAAAAAACTGTCTCTTTCCCTTTCCTGTGTGGAGGCTCTAAAAGTCCCCTGAAACAGGTAGCAGTCTTCAACTTGCCTTTCTTCAAAAAGCCCCAATTGAAGGAGAAATAAACTGGCTTTAATGACATTTAAAGAATGATTTCTCAATAATTAAATGAAAGAGAGCACCAGTGCACAAACAGCAAAAAAGTAAAAAGGAATTGAAAGGAAGAGAAAGAAAGTTATTGAATCTTGTGATTTAGATTGGTGCTATCAAACAATGTTTCCCTTTTGTTTTCTTTTTCCACACTTAATATCTTCGTCCTGTCTATTTTTGTGTCTGCCTGAATGAGAAGGGGAGAATTTAGGAAGGGATTGAGTTGTGAAGTTATAAGTTAGCAATTGGCATTTCCTAATTATCAATAGTTAAAAACAATTTGTTCGTAATAAACAATTATTTTGTTAAGTATAGGAACATGGTGACTATTTTCTTTGAACCTGAGTTTGTCAGTTGGGTAAATTGTGGAATACGGATAATTTGGTTAAATGTTTATATGTTTGTAACAACTACAGCAATAGTGAACCTTGATTTTCAGCGCATTGCCCCAATCAGTCATGAAGCTTAACACTGATTATTAATCTAACAATTTCTCAAATAAAGCTATGTGTAATACACAAAGCAATACTTAGATGTGAACTCCATTTAAGTCACCGAATGTTCACCCACTAGCTGTTCTCGGTTTATGATTTGAGTTGCATGTTGATTTGCTTCAAGTTTAAACCAAGTTTTAGGATCTTAATTAGCCTGAAGGTTTTGTTTAATCAGGTTGTCTTTTTTTTTCTCACTGTGCTTCTATACTTGTTGCTGTGGTGAGGATTTTGGTTATCATATTGGACATTTCAGGTTCTATATTGTGTTAAATGTAAGTTTCTAATCTTGTGTTTCTTCAGATAGTGCCCTTTAGGCTTCTGTGTAGCATGAGTCAGTTTAAGTTATTGGGTTCGGTTGATGTAATTTGTAAATGGTGAATGAAACAATTGATAGTGAGAGTGTATTGAACACATGCCACACAGGATTTTAACTATGGGTTTGTCTTGAAGGTCAGCACAATTCAAATACTTCTTTGCAGTCCCTTCCCCAAACTATGATTAACACACAGAATTAAAATGATCAATTGCAAAATTTAATTCCCTTCATAAACTACAAAGAATTTGCACTGTCATAGATCTTGACCAAACCTGGAGAAAAGTTCTAAAGATGTTTTCCTCAATTCTAAAAAGTAATCACCTGAAGGTTTTATGCGCTCTTACAATGCATTGTAATGCAACCAGTTACTTTTCACAGATGATGAACTTTGATGCCCAGTAAGCTAGGAGCAAGTGTATTGTGTGGAGTAGATTGCTTTGAATTGCCACCTATTCTATGAAGCAATCCTGCTACCTCATTAAGCACACAATTTCTCTTCCTAGCTACCATGTTAGAATAGTTTGTAAGTGTTTACCAAAGGAATTATCACTAGACAACCAGATCTTTCCCACAACTTCATGTTGTAAGCATTGTACGTTAAGATCCCCGATTATTGCCCTAAAGTCTCATCCTCTGCGACTATGACTGTGTTGTATTTCCCTGTCACTCCTTAGTACGATCAACTATGCCTTCACTTCACCTCTGTGTCGTTCAGCTTAACGAGACTACGTGGTCTGTTAAATCCAAAACTAGTCCATCTCTTCTCTTCCTACCGTTCCCTTGCCCTTGTGTTGTTGACTGGAGTCCCCCCAGGATCTATTCTTTGCTCCCTCACTTTTCAGCAAAGAACTCAACCTTGTCACCATTATCAAAAATGGTCAGCTTCTACACTACACTGGCACTTAACTGTGCTGTTCTACTGCTTTGATGCCTTTGCTTATTTTGTCAGTTTCACATAAGCTGCAGTTTCCTCAGTTAGACATTATCAAAATTGAAGCCATGATGTTTGTATTATGCAAGAAATTCAGTAACTTTGCCACGAATTCCACCCTCCAAGCATTGAATGTGCTCAGTCCCTTTATGACATGACTTTTCCAATGCTGCACTGCAACCCCCATCCTCTGAAAATCAGTTTTCTTTAAACTCGATTCTTCACACTTGAACTTAAAACTGTAATCCCCATGTTTACGTTTCCAAGATAGTCTCGTCCATGTCCTCCCTTCAGTATCGAAGCTCCACCAGTCCTGCAACCCACCTTCCAAAAATTTTGATTTCCTGACTTGTGTTTGCCTTCACCATACAACAATCATATTTTCAGATACACTGTTCCTACATTCTGAAATTTTCTCCCAAATTGAGTTGAATTTTAGGGTGGCATGATGGCACAGTGGTTAGCATTGTTGCCTTATAGCACCAGGAACCTGGTTTGATTCTAGTCTTGGACATTTGTGAAGTTTGTGGATATTCTGCCAATGTCTGCATGGGTTTCTGCTGGGTGTTCTGGATTCCTCCCACGGTCCAAACATTTGGTTAATTGGATCAACCATCTAAATTGTCTTGTACTGTCCAGACATGTGCAGGCTGGATTAGTTATGGTAGATGCAGGATTATGGGGATAGGGTGGGGGGTGAGTGTAGGTAGATTACCCTTTGAAAGGTCAGTGCAGTCTGGACGGGCCAAGTGGCCTTTTTCTGCACTCTAGGCATTCTATGCTTATAAGATCCTTGTCTTTTATGACTTTTAATGTCTCTTTCTTCAGTTCAGCCCTTTTTGTCTCATTCCACCTCCATTCCTGTGTTAAAGTTGGAAGTTGTTATGACTTTGATCTGTTGTAATCCTCTCCAAACTATTCTTGAATAGTTCTGATTTTATTTTTAAACACTTAATGTAGTATAATTGTTTTTGTCATTCAGCTTCCACCTAACATTCCTGTTTAATTTTCCTCCTCTTGCACTACATAAAGTCAAGGTGAAAAACAGATTTTTTTTTTTTCCTGAATTACCTGTTCAATTGTATTTCTCCATCTTGTGGGGAGATGCGTTGTATTCACATATTTTCCAAGTATGTTGTGTAGTTATGCTGTTTAATTCCCCTTTCCCTTCTTGGAGAATCTAATTTAGGACCGAAACCTAAGGTTTGGATTTCTATCTAAAATTATATATTTCAAACTATCAAATGTTTAAATTTGAGGTGCCTACAGGTACAACTTTGACCAGATTTAGTTAGGAAATGGAAGTGCTGCATGTGTCTTACAGTATTGGTTTGGTTAAATTCTAGCTACTCCTTTGCTAACACCTTTTTCTTAAATCAAAAATTAGTTTCTAACAGCTAAAACCTTCAAGTTCCTAAATTACAATATGAATTTTAAAAGTTAATCTGTATATCTATACTTGCACAAAACTTGAATCCTTGCAAAAAAGTGGCTTTATTGCTAAAATGACAGTTCTGCACTGCTGTCACTGAATTCTCATGTCCAACTCTTTGCGTTTTCTGCTTTCACTTTCTTTCTTCACTTTCTGAAATAGTTGCCTACAGCCTCAAGTCCTTCTAATCAAAGTCCTCCTAGAGCTCCTGGAAAGGATCCGTTTGCAGAGCTCTCTCTCAAGGATTTCTTGTAGAACAGACAAGGTATTCTTGGAGTAATAAGTGTATATCTGTGTTTTCTGTTAAGCAATGTTCAGAACAAGCACCTTAAAACCATCACACTAAGCCAGCTATAATAGCCGTGTTGTTACAGTATTTGGTTATCACGCACAAGGTATGTTAAAAGAGCCTTCCTGTCATATGTATGTCGTGGTGTACTTGTGCTTTATAGAAATTTGTAATTATGTTCATTTCTTTTGCGTATGGATTGTTAGTACTTTAATTAGCATGCAGTTTTTTTGTGGTGGTTGTAGCTCAACAAACTAATTCTGACAGTAAGACTCTGTTAGTGAATTTACATGTTGGTTTGTTTAGTTTTCCACTTCCCCACAATCAGAACAAGTTTCAAATGCGTCTCATAAAATTGTACAAAAAATAAGGTTTTCAAATACATACAGTACTTCCTATTAATACAGTGGTTTCACTCTTCATCTGTGGAAAGCGTAACAGACAAAATTTGTTACTTGGACTTTGTACAGTGTTTTTAATCAATAACTGGTCCATAATGCACTTCACACCTATTATTAATAAGATATTTTAAAGTCCGAAGTTCTCACTATTTTTTGTTTGTTGGGGTAGGGGGGGTGGTTTCTTTCTGAAGCTTTTTACACACTTCTTTCACAAATTGCCTAGCTAAAATCTGTTGTGTACTGAGTTTCCTTATCTTGCATATAGAAACTTATTTCAATTTGAAAATTGATTTTTTGGTAAAGAATTTGTACTTGTAGAGAAGTTTGTGATTTTCAAGGAAACCTGAAATTAATGTTTTACTGTATGGAAGTCTTATTTGTCTGATATTTGCCCTGCTATTTCAATTGTCATCTTTTCTAGATACACTTTATGTAATGGCATCAAACGGAACCATTCTGAGAAGATAAGTGCTAAGCAGCAAATTTTATTCTTCTTGCAAAATACTCGCTGTTTGTGAAACTATCTTCCATAAGGATGTTCTCAATATGGATAATAACAAGATTGCAGAATGACCAAGGTGAAAAGTTTATTGGAAAACACATGTTGATGTATCAACGTAAGCAGCAAGTGGAAAGACTTATTTTGATTGAATCGGTCATCAGCCAATCATGATTTTAAATTGTTCCAACCAATAATGCCATACAAAACATCAAATAGTTATGTTCTCATACTGAGTGAAACTTTTATTGATTTAGAATTGACAGCTTGAAGAACGCTAAGATTATGGCTAAGAGCTGCTGGATTGTAAATTATCAGGATTTGGTAGGGTATTCTTTGAAAAGCAGCAGTAAATTATGTAACTTTTGTATGTACACCAAGTATCAGTTTTTCTTTCACTTTCACAGAATAATCGTGCTAAAATTATTAATTCGGAATTTTACTTTTTATTCAAGTTTGTAGTAGACATTCCTTGTGTACTATGTTTATATTTATTTATGACTGTGTCAGATTAAGTAACAATATTGCATCAGATGCTTTCTGTGAGGATTAATATGAATGTGCATGCTTCATCAGGTTAGATGAAAACATGAATTTGAATGGAAAATGCAGTTAATTGAAAGATGAAGCACTAAATATTCTACAACTCAGTTTACTTACCCCTTGTACAATTATTTGTAGGCAGATTCTCAATCCTGCATTTGTATGGAATTTAGAGTGAATAATGTATTAATCAATGTAGCTAATTCTGTGCCTAGGATTTTGCAATGGAACAGTTATTGACTTGCAAACTACTACTTTTGTATTTTGGCATTAGCATAATTGGGAGGGCCTTTCTATGCTCAGCATGTCATTATTTTACATCGGAGTTTAATGCTGCCTTTCCTGACTAGAATGTAAAGAATTGCCTTCAGTTCACGAAGATCCTCTACCTCCATAGGACTCCAAATCATATGCAGATCTCAGAACACTTAAAATGTTTGTTTAAATGTCCACACATGGTGTCTTCACTTGGTTGGTTCTGAGAAGACTTGTTTACACAAAGTTGGAAATGAGGGAATAGTTTCTGTGTAGAATTTTTTTAAAAAGTAAAGCAAGATAAAATGTAACACAGCACTGTTGATCGGTGCTCACTGTATATAACATAAACTCTATTCGCATCACTGGTGTGAAGGATGGCTTGAGCTTAAGGCAATTCAGTACACTAACTTTGCAAAATTTTGCTGCATTGTCTTTGCAGAATATATTTTGTTTAAATGAAAAAAAATGTATGTTAGGGGAAAATTTGGTGGATTTTCAAATAGAGCAGCTTTCACTGACATTTTGTTACCAATTAGGTCCAAGTTACATCTCTTGATTCCAATAGATCCTGTGCATGGATATAATAATTCTGCATTATTTAATAAAAGAAAACAAGCATTTGTAGGAAGCTGTTATGTCACATTGATCTTTTTCATCAATGGAAAGGCTTTGCTGCCGGACATTATCTGACCATTTGAACAGATCTTCAAACCTTTTAACTCTTCGAGGTAAAGTTGCTCAGGATTCGTCAGAAAAAATGGATATCAGTAATGTCAATGATTCTATTTGTTTGTTGTGGATTCTTTTTTTTAAATGTGCACTTGTGTTTGCCACAAATATGTCAGATGTAAATTGATATTGATTTAACTGAAATGAAAAATGTTAGGGTAAATATTTCAACTTAAAATACTGTCTCGAAATCACTTAAGACAGTTGTACAAAAATGTTGCATTCTTTATGTTGTGATTTCTGGACATATCTTGGGGCACCTCTGCTTCAAGACAATTGGGCAATGAATCTTTCACAAAATAAGGCATGGCCAACTAATCTCACTGAATTTTGTAAGACCACTAATATGGTGACAGGGTAATTTCATCAATATTGCCTACCTGGGGATACAGACGGAATTTGGTAAGGTTGAGTACAAAATTATTACCAACAATGAGAGTACAGTGATTGGAGTTCACCTTGTGGCATAGGTTATTAATTGGCTGGTTGATATGATTCACAGAAATTAAAATGGTTTATTTGTGGCATAGTGTGATCTGGTGTTTCATAATGATCTACACTGAGGCCTCCCTTTTGTGCCTTAGATGAGGGCGTCGGAAGTTCTGTATCTGGTTTGCAAATGACATGAAGTTAAGAGGTATGATAACTTTTAGAGAGGAAAGCAGGATATTACATTGTTACATCATTTTGCCAATTCTATGGCATTTGTTTGCGAGAGCCCATCCAGTTTGGATTGAATCAAGATAAATCCATAATATTTTCCTCATGGTGCGTGTATAATAACAATTGAGGAGCAAAAGGATTGAGTGTTCATGTGCATAATTTACCATATGTTAATACTCTGTACAAAAGGTAACAAGGCAAATAGAATGTTGGCTTTAATCTCAAAAGGAAAGGAATGAGATTTGTATCAGTTGCACAGAAACTTGCTTAGACTCTTGTAGAGTGCAACATTTGTTTGTGAGAACAAACCAATGAAAGATCTTGGGTGGGATTATGCATAGATATGCCAGAATGGTACATGAATTTAAAGGGCTAAGTTGAGGGTGAGATGCAGAAACGTGGATTGTATTCCATTGAGTTAATGTATTGAGGCGTAATGTATAAAGAGATTTCGGTAGGGCAGTTATAGACAAACTATTTTCTCTATGTGGGGACTTGAATGCAATTTCAAAGATGTGAAATTCCAGCTAAGCCATTGAGAAGTAAAAGTAGGAAATAGGTTTTACGTTCAAATTTAGTTTCCTTCTGCAAAAGGGTACAGATGTTGGGACAATTTAAATTTTTCAAGACTAAGGTCAATAATTATTTACTCAGGTTATGAAAGATGGTTAAATGGAGTTGGGCCCAGATCAGCTATAACAGAATGGAGAAACAGGCAGGAGGTGATCAAGGTGTGTTTACGTTACTACAGTACTCCTTCCTCCCATCTCCCTTTATCTTACTTTTCTCACCTCTTCTCACTCCACAAGCTGCAGTTTAATAGCCTGCAGCCAGAGAATAATCTATGTTGCCACAGTTTGACCTTGGAGTAACTTGTTGACAATTTAATTAAATTTTACTCCTTGTGAGTTGGAAACTGACAGTGAAAAGGTATTAGAGATAGTAGGAACTGCAGATGCCGGAGAATCTGAGATAACAAGGTGTAGAGCTGGATGAACACAGCAGGCCAAGCAGCATCTCCTCTGATGCTGCTTGGCCTGCTGTGTTCATCCAGCTCTCCACCTTGTTATATCAGTGAAAAGGTATTTCCCAGAAGTGTAAGCAAGTCACACGTATGGATAAAATTTGATGCTTTGCATGTGACATTGCTGATGCTGACAGATTTGACATAAGTTTTACTATTCTTTAGAACTAAGCATAATATTTGATCAAATCTGTATTAGACTCTTTCTTTGTTTAAACCTTTACTCCAGTTTGTCCTGCTCCCTGGCAGAACAACCAATAACAAGACGACTTGTTCACACATGGGGAAATGTTTTGTTTTTTGTTGTTCTCCCATTCATGGTACATTCATGTGTAATTTTGCCAGCACAATTTCAAGTTAGCCTTTGTAAATGCTTGCTTGTAATTCTGATTTTCAAATTCTCCAGATAAACAGACTGATTACTGAAGTAACATTATGGTCTTCCAGACTTCAGTGCTGCTTATTGCTCGTCAACTATTTGCATATCTGTGGATGTTAGTGTGTATGGCACTAATAGAGTGAAACTTGACTCTGAACTATTCCCTAATTTTCTATATTGGGTTATTGATAAAACAGATGCACAAAATTCCCCGCACAAAATTCTGCCCTGGCACAAATTTAAAATCATCTGATCCAACTTATCAAGTTGAGACTGTCAGCTCTCCTATCCCATAATCAGTTTGAAATTAAGGTTCTTATTGTTCAATATTTTCAATTCAAGCCACAGCGTCCTCTCAATACTCCAGCTGAAAATTGACATGGAGAACTGAAAATGCAAGGACTGATACCATTAGGTCTCTTGCCAAAACATCATTTTGCATTGAAGGTTGAAAATGCTTTGTTGGCAGATATGAGTTAAATTAAGTCAGAAAGAGTATGTGAGTGCTCAAAGAAGAAACACCTTGACTGCCTAAATCCATGTGGATATGAGATGAGTGAAATAATTCCATGGTTTTAAAGTGTCTTAAATTCTTAATATTTACTCAAAATTTAAAGTCATTGTCTGATTTTTGTGCTGTATTAGACTAGACACTTTATTGATTTAACAGCAAAATCTTTGTGATCCTGTGGTCAAATCTGAGTGGCAGGTGGCAGTTGACAGTTGACAGTTGCTATCTTCTTAAAATTGCCTGGTGCCTAACTTATCTTGTTTATCAGTGTCCCAAGGATGGAACATAGGTACGTTGCGCAAAACTCACTGGTTTTTAGTTTGTGGTTCTGATAAAGGAGAGAATAAAGTGTTTTGGGATGATGGTAATAATTAAATCATTTGACTTTGACTATAAAATGTTGGGAGCTAATTGAACAAGGTTATGAAAAAAAATAGAAAATACTGGAAATATTCAGATCAAGCAGCATTTGTGTTCAACCAACAACATTTCTGGGTGATTACCTTTCACTAAAATTTTAAAAGTAGCAGCATTGGGTTATACAGCTTTAATAATTGCTAGGTGCAGTCAAGGTAATGAGAGGCTCTCATCTGTAAATCATAAGATTTTAACACATTCTTCTTGAGCACAATGTATGTTTGAACATGGCATTATTTTGGTGTGCTTCAGAGGAATCGATTCGTGCTGGGTGTATGATTCCACTGGGTATTGTCGCCGTTTTAGTATTTAAATCAGTAATTCTTCGTGTATGAGCGAAGTGCAAATTCTGACAGACAACTCGAACATGAGGCATCATATCCAAGCCTAATGTTGCTCTCTTATATTTATACTCGTATGTACTCCCAAAACTCATGAAATTACAATTGAATACAATTATACTTCCTCTTTAGACTTCCAAGCTAAAATTGGAAGAGTACCTTGAACCCTTGAACTCTTGATCTCTTCGTTCATTTCCGTAATGTTGTCGCCATGGACAATAGTCTCCTACTGCATAAAAGGCCTTTTCTTTTCTGTAGATTATAAAGTACTAATGAGACACTTATCAATAACCAAAGTGAAGGGATAGTAAGAACAAGTTTAAGCACCTCAATTGAACATATATGAAATAGTACATTTAGAAGCCAGGAGGATATACTGACCAGTTAAATTGTTTCTGTATTCACTGTATCAATCCTGTTAGCATATAAGAACCATTCTGATCCACGTTGACAATGCAGCTTTATGTGATCTTAATCCAACCACCAAACTGCTACAGACCACTGTAAATGAAAAATCAAATCATACATTCTGCCTTTTCAATGAGAAAGCAATATTCTTTGGCATGCATCTGAGAGAGATTATAATATGCTATATAAATACATATTTGATCTTTTTATACATGGTTGTGTCCTTACTCTGTTTTATGCTGTCACAAAGGAGGAAGTTCGATGAATATGGAAGCGGTGCACTATTCAACTCAATGTATTTTTCACATCCTTAAAGTGGAAATACTTTAGCATGCACTGGGTTTGGATTATTGCCTTAAATCTCACTGTATCCATTAGCCATTTTGAAATGTACACTATAAATTCTTTACTGAATATAAAAAATGCATTGTAATTGAAATTTGGATGCAGATTTCTCATACTTTTGCATCACTATGTGGATTTACAAAAAAAAATAAAACCAGACATGTTTCCTAAGGCCTGTGGTGTAAATGAAACTTTTGAAAATCCTGAGCACGTCAAGATTTTGTGCAGGAAGTTGAAACATAGATGAACAAATATGTTACTGTCCCCCAGTGTTTTACACTAAATCGTTTTTGTAATTTTAAGATAATAGATTTGAGAATGAGGAAATCTCATTTACATTCTTGAGATCAGTGCTTTCCTTAGGCTCTTGTGTGTTCATAATTTTTGACAATGGAGAATTTTAAAAATGCTTCTATGAATCAAGCTTATTTTTGGACAGCTGAACTGTTTGCTGTTTAACTATAATTTCCCTTGAATTTTATTCTTTACTAAATAAAATTTAAACAGCTACTGGTGAGATCACCTGATTGTGGAAAGGATTTATTGTTTTACAAACTCAAACTTATAGCAGCGTTGGGCTCCGTACAGGGACAGTGACTCTCATTCATAGAAAATAAAAATAAGAAAGAGTTAAGACTAAAGTTCTAAAACTGTTTTTGGGGTGACTTGGAGCATAATGGAGTTAAGGAGCTTTTAACTGTGCTGTGTAGTGAGGTGGATTTTGGGAATTCGATACAGTTATGAAACTGTTAACTTTTGCTCAAGCTATAACTTAGATGAACAGTCAGAATTTTAAAATTGGAAGTTGTATTAAAAAAAGTTGTCAGTTGATTGCAAATGGTGTTGCCTAAGAGGTGTTAATTATTGTGACAGGAAGCTGACTTAGCGGTTGTTGCTTTTCATACCTTTATCCTCAGTCTGCATAGAGTGAAGATACAAATTAGGTGCTCAGGTATATGATTGGTTATATAACTTTTTAAAATTGTTTCCCTGTACAAAAAGCCTGAAAGAAATATTTCAAATTTTGAGAATAAACTTAAAATAGTTTAACTAGATAGGAGTCAACAATTGAGTGACATTTCTAAATTTGAAGCCTTGTTAGATAAATAAAACAATGGCAGGGCAAGATGATTTGTTGCGGCTGTACGTGTACAGCTGCGGAACAGCAGTGTTGATAGTAGTCTGGGTACCTTTTGACTCAGTGTTGATTAGCTGGAGTCTGAGTTTTAGATATTAAGGTATTAGGAGTTGGTTACTTTTGTACTTGAATCCAGGGGACTAGTGCAGTCCTTTAAACTAGGTACATCAGATTTGGCCTATGGTCAGCAACAAGAGGGTATGACTGCAAATAGGCAGGTGTGGGATCCCAAAGGTTGCTGCAAAGGAGGCTCCGGGATAGTTAGAACTGAAAAAAATGATCAGCAAACTGACCATGGCATCTTGGTGGAGGAAGTAAGAAAGGAATGTACTATAGTAAGGAGCATTATAGTTTTGAGGTTTGGGACTCCAAATCAGCAATGTGCTGTGGAGCTACGTCTGAGTTATTAATTGATGTGAGGGTCCTTTTAATCCACATTTTATAAAAGTGGATGTGACCGAGATATTTCATCTTTTGAGGCTTGATTCCTGCTCCACTAACTGAGAAGTCATGGCCATGTTCAAGGCCTGAAATGGAGCCACAGTGAGAAAAGGTTTGGGAAGCACCAACATAGGTGTATTGTTGGTGCATGTAACAAAGTTTAATTGTAGGGACTTTAAACTTTATAGGCTAGAAAAAGCATATTGACAAAGTTAGTCTCTGAGATGAGTTTGCAGAGTGCATTTCTGAAACAATATGTTGTGGTACTAAGGACCGAAGCTATTTCAGATCTCTTGTCTAATGAGGAAGGGTTAATTATTAATCTCTCAATAAAGGATGCACTGAGAAATAGTGATCACTTATCCATTAGAATTCCAGAAGTTTGAACATGACAATCCAATCACAACAGAATTTTAATAAAACACATTACATAAGTTTGAGGTGAAAGCTGGCAAAGGCTGATTGAATAAATAGACTAAAATAAATGTTGGTAAATAAAAGGAAACATTTCAACAAATAATTCAAACTGGTGTAGGGTTCAAAAATATAGAGCTGCAGAGATGGTGGAAATGCTGCATATTATTATTCATATTCCTGTAGACTCCTCAACATTCCTAGATTTTGAAGTCAACAGCTGTACCCAAGGAGAGAGAACACGTGAACTCCTGTCTAGTTAGCCTGACATCAACCATTCCTTTCTGGAATCAATTTATTCAGGAAGTTCTAAGAAAACACTTGAGCAGACTATGATTACAACAAGTCAACATGATCTTACAAAATAGAAATTTTATTTAACTCTAAATAGCAGCACAGATAAAGGAGAATCAGGAAATGTATGTAGTTGAATTTCTAAATGATGTTCCGTAAGGTCCCAAGGGTGTGAGCTCATGAAAACCAAAAGAACTGTGGCTGCTGTGAATCAGGAACAAAAACAAAGTTGCTGGAAAAGCTCAGTAGGTCTGGCAGCATCTGTGAA